AGAGACCAGGCTGGCCTCGAACTCACAGAGATCCGCCTGCCTCTGCCTCCCGAGTGCTGGGATTAAAGGCGTGCGCCACCACCGCCCGGCTCAAATTCACTTTTTAAAGTAGCCAAATGGCACTTCTTGAGAGAAAAATGAGAACTGTTGACATTCTAAGCTTACCACTTAGAGGCTTTGCAGAGTTTATGTTGTGATATGTAAGCATAAAGAAATGAATGTAATCAAGTCTCTTCCTGTGTAGTATTTTTAAAACTTTTTATCATATTTGTTTTAAATGGTCTTTTCCTGTGTCTGGTAAGAGTTGGCAAGCTTTATATTATTTTGAACAGATAATCAGAAATAGTGATTTCAGTTGCACCAAACTACAAAAAATAAAATCCACTATTCTTCAGTGTTAGCACTCTGAGAATCCCTTTTATATCTCTGTAGGAAGAGTGTAAGGCAGGGTTTTTGAATGTGTAAAGATATTTTCTGTTTCATTTAAGATCCCTCCCTCCCTCTTTCTTCCTTTCTCTCTCTCTCTCCCCCTCTCTCTCCCTCTCTCTCTTCCTCTCTACTCCTCTCTCTCCCTCTCCCCCCCTCCCTCTCTCCCTCTCTCCCCCTCTCCCTCCCTCTCTCCCTCTCTACTCCTCTCTCTCCCTCTCCCCCCCCTCTCCCTCTCTTCCTCGCTCCCTCTCTCCCTCCCTCCCCCTCCTCCCCCCACAGAGTTTCTCTGTGTAGTTAGTTCTGGCTGTCCTTGAGCTCATTTTGTACACCAGGCTGGCCTTGAACTCAAGAGATCTACCTACCTCTGCCTCCACACCCAGCTTTTCATCATTTAAAGGTCTTTATTGTCCTTATTCTTTCAATTTGCTTTAAGCCTTTTATTTTGGCCTGGAGAAATGGCTTAGTGATTAAGAGCATTGACTACTTTTCCAGAGGACCCGGGTTCACATAGCAGCTCACAACTGTTACTCCAGTTCCAGAGACACCCTCACACAGACAAATGTATACATAAAATACAAATAGATAAATAAATAAAAATATAAGCCTTTAATTTTAGTTTCTTCACTTTTAAGGTACACATTGGTTATTTTCCCCTTTTTATTGTTATTGTTAATTTTTTTTAAAGTGTGTGTGTACATGCTCATGCACAGGTGCCCATGGAGTTTTTAATTTTTATTTAAAAAAAATTATTTCATTGCATGCCTGGTGCTAGACATGGTTGTGAGCTACCCGCCTTAATTGCTGGGGACCAAACTCCCACCCTCTGGAGGTGCAGCTAGCACTGAATCATCTCCACAGCCTCCCGTTGGGTCTTTTAAAATGAATTTGCCTAAGGGATTTATGCAGTGATGTACTCCGAAGAAGTTAAAAAGTTAAAGGTCACCTTATCTAACAGTTAGTTACATAGCTAAACATTTACTAACTTGGTTTCAATGTTTAATTCTTAGTTTAAACTGGTTTTGAGTTTGTCAGACATTACCACACCATTATAATTTCACTCACCTCCTTTCTTTTCTAATGATACCTGGAATACTCAAACACACATTCTTTCCCCACCCCACTGCCCCAACCCCCACAAGGCATTGTGAATATTTCTAGAGGCTTTCTGGGCCACTTGAAATTGGGAGAAACAAGTAGTAGAAACTCAGTGAAATAGTATGGCTGGGTGATACATAGTAGAGAGTTGCTGTATGAGATAGTAGCCTTTCTACTTACTTTTCACATTTTGTGCAGGGAACATTGCCAGAAACATTTGGGGTCATTCACATGAGGACAAATGTTTGTTTTAAAAATGATGTCAGCATGACTCCTAGGCATCCCTTAGTCAAAATGCTGGTTACTGTTGTGCCCTTTACTGACTAAAGCTGTAGAACCTTCGGGACCGTTGCTCCTTTATTACAGCCCTTGACATCACAAGCCCAGTATCATCTAGGTGAGATACATATAGCAGACGACAAAGACAATAAATAACCTGCATGCTGGTGGAAAAATGAGTGTTAATTTTGCCTTGAAGTGCTAGAAATGCTGTATCTAAGCAGATAGTATCTCATCTGGTTTTAGAAGGCTTAGTTGGATTTTCACTAGACAGAAGGAAAAGAACTCCAATGGAGGAGAAAGGCATTGACAGGACAGTCTAGAAAAGGAGTGTGCACACACTGATGGGTAGTGATAGTAGCCTCAGATTTCAGTTATCTTCTGCTTAAAATGTGCAAAAAATAGCACTTACTGCATATACAACTTTGTAAGTTAAATATGGTCATATATTCAAAAATGCATGTTTAATTGCTGTGTTCTTTCCTATCACTGCTCTTGACTTATACAAAATAGAACAACTGAAGTGTGTTATAATAGACTTTTCCAAATTGGACGAATATTTGGTTTTCCTTTCTTTTAAAATGACTGTAGTTTAAATTTTTCATGTTACATGTTTGCAAAAGCAATATGATCATATAAAGAGAACAGATTGTGGGAGAACACTCAATTTGTAGAGTTAGGGGAATTATATATCATCTCTATTTGTGTGTCCTCTATAAACTAGAGATTATGATAATATATACTTCATAGATAGTTGTGAGAACTAACATAGCAGATGTAAAAACCTCTTATAACCTCTATTTATAGCTTCCAGTATTTTCCTGCTATTTCAAAATGATTTACTTTTTTTTCTTTTTTGGTTATTTGAGACAGGATTTCTCAGTGTAGCACTGGCGATCTTGGAACTTGCTCTGTAGACCAGACTGGCCTGGAACTTCCAGAGATCCTTCTGTCTCTGCCTCCTGATTGCTGGGATTAAAGACATGAGCCACCACTGCCCAGTTGATTTACATTATTAAAATCAATTATAGCCACCCTTTATATGTTATTAAATAAAACTGAATGTTTTGCCTAGGAGTTTTTTTTTAGTCCACATACATAACATAAAAACTTCTGTCTTCAGTCAGAATAGCCTTGCATTAGCATTATATATGCATGTGAATAGCCTTGCATTAGCATTATATATGCATGTGTGTGTGTTTTTGAGATGGGGGTCTCACTGTGTAGCTCTGGCTAGGCTGGAACTTGCTGTGTTTGCCAGGTTGGCTTCAAACTCATCAATGCCGGGATTAAAGGAGAATACCATCACTCCCAGCATGTATGCATCTTTTGAAGACATTTTAAATTAATGCTTTATCACTTTATTAGGAAGGTTTTCTTCTCTCACACATTCCATTTTCTTTAATCTGTAAAGTGAGAATATAGGTACCAACCTCATTTATTGTGATGAGGTAAGTCAAGTTGTTAAGTTAGGTAGCATAATTGAAAACCCTATGCAAAGGTATGGACTATCTCCAAAAATATTTACATATAAAACAAAATATTTTTATTTTTTGTTTTTTTGAGACAGCTTCTTTGTGTAGCTTTGGAGCCTGTCCTGGAACTCCCTCTGTAGCCCAGGCTGGCCTCGAACTCACAGAGATCTGCCCGCCTCTGCCTCTAACTCCCAAGTGCTGGGATTAAAGGTGTACATCACTACTGCGCGGCAAAACACAGAATTTTGAAAGCAACTTGAATTACTAAGTTTAAGAACTCATCTATCACTTTGCTGGGGAGTCAGGTAATAAAACTTTGTTGCTGCTGGTCTCTGTCTGGTAGGAGTAGCTTGCAGATGGGATACTGTTGCTGCCAGCCAGTCTTCACCTTCTCTATAGCATAGAACTAGAAGCATGGTTCCTGGAAAAATAGATATTGACTTCACCAAGTTTTATACTAATTACAGACATCAGTCATTAATTAGCTTGTAACTCTACTTTCTGTCTTTCTTTTTTTTTTTTTTTTTGGTTTTGTGCCTTTCCTGGAACTCGCTTTGTAGACCAGGCTGGCCTCGAACTCACAGAGATCTGCCTGCCTTTGCTTCCCCAAGTGCATGCGCCACCACCGCCCGGCAACTCTACTTTTCATAATTACATCTTCTAAAAGAAATTGCCAAATGAGGAATTACACAATATTTGCATGAACTTAATCTTTGGAAGTGATCTTGTGCTGTGACTCTAATTCTAGTTTTAAGTTAGGCTGAATGAAGGTGTTACTTCAATGCAATGTCAGAAAGAAGCCTGCTGAATAGTGTCTGATTCAGTACTGGGAAGGAGTAAAACAAGAGCCTCCCAAGTTTCTGGTTTGATGGGCCAGCAAGATGGCTCCATTGGTAAGAGTGCTTGCTGCCAAACCTGATGGTTGTGTTCAATCCCAGAAGTTCATGTGATGGAAAGAGCTAATTCCTGCAAGTTGGTGTTTGATCACTGTGCCATGACATAAATACCACTCTCCCCATTCACAAATTTGTATGTGTGCACATACATGGCACATATTTATATACAATATGTGGCACACACACTAAATAAAATTAAATTAAGAAATAAGATAGTGGTTGTTTTGCTAAAGGAAGGGTAGAAATTGGAAATTTAAACTAAGTGGTTAGGACTAGAGAGATGGCTGAGCAATTAGAGCACATACTGCTCTTGCAGAGAACCTGAGTTCTAATTTAGGTGGCTAACTCCTGCTCCAGGCTACTCTGACACCTGCACACCCTCCCAACACAATTAAAAGTAATCGATCTTTCATAAACTCAGTAGCTTGGAACATTTTGTTATTTGGCACAATAGTAAGAGGAAGTAAGTAGGCCAGGACACTATAAGATGGCAAATTGGTTTCTGTTCTTCAAATGGAACACACACTTTAGCATCTGTCCAAATTCTCTAAGGACCACCTGGCTTTTCTATCCCATAGTTAACATGGATTTTATATGTTTGAGGTATTATTTAAAAATTTCCAAACCCATAGGAATCGGATCTTTTTCTTTTCTGTGTCAAATTAATCGGATCTTTTTCTTTTCTGTGTCAAATTAATTCCTAGGCTGTCTATTTTCAGTGACCAGCTCTTTTGAGTAACTGTACCAGGTTACTGTACCAGTAACTGTTCAGTTAAACTGAGTATATGAGTTAAGAATGTAAAGCCATAGGGCTGAAGAGGTTGCTCAGTGGCTAAGAGCACTGGCTGTTTTTACAGAGAATCAATCCATGGTGGCTCACAGTCAACATCTATAACTCTAGTGAATCCAAATGCTATCTTCTGGCTTCCTCAGGTAACAAGCACACATGAGGTGCACAGACATACGTTAAGGCAAAATACTCAAAAAGTGGTAAATCTGCCAGGCAGTGGTGACACACGCCTTTAGTCCCAGCACTCTGGAGGCAGAGGCAGGTGGATTTCTGTGAGTTTGAGGCCATCCTGGTCTACAGAGTGAGATCCACAGCAGCCAGGGCTACACAGAGAAACCCTGTCTTTAAAAACAAAACAAAAAAAGTAGTAAATCCATTACACAGTTAAAATAAGTACCCTTTCCTCACCCAGTGCAGAGCAGTGAACCTAGAGCCTTGTGCATGTGAGGGAAGTGCTGTGTTACTCTAGCTCTACCTAAGATACATTTTAAAAAAAAAAAAAACAGTAAAATAAATGTATTTTCTGGGCCAAAGTTGTATCTCACAGATAAGTACTGATCTGGCATGGGTGAAGTCCTCATTTGGAGCGCCCCCCCCCAACACTACAAATCATCAAACAAAAAATAATTGTGAAAAAAAAATATTATTAAAACCATGAAAGAGATAGGAACCAAAACACATCTGGTGGCTTGAAAGGACTTTTCCTAAACTGACATCCAACTTAAGATTCTCACCAGCTCATTATTTAATTGCCATGAGTACCAACTACTGATGAGTTTTGTTCCTATCTTTTTTATGGCTTTAATAGTACTTTTTGATGCCTGGTGGTATAGATATTGGATATAGGGAGCAAGGCAGTGTGGTTATATCAAGCACATCTCCCTTTTTTATGTTTTCTTGCAATTATGTATAAAACTAAATTTGTATGACTAGTGACTTTTTTATATGTAAAGTGATTGTAGACCAGGCTGGCCTTGAACTCACACCTGGCTCTGCCTCCCCAGTGCTAGGATTAAAGGCATCCACCACCACTGCCCGTGGGGCTTTCTTAATACTGTATTAAAATTAATACTTAATACTGTATAAAAATTGTATTTTGGAGTCTTGGTTTTGTTTTGTTTTTGAGACAGGGTTTCTCTGTGTATCCCTGGCTGTCCTAGACCTCACTCCGTGGACCAGGCTGGTCTCAAACTCAGAGATTCATCTGCCTCCTGAGCGCTGGGATTAAAGGCGTGCATCCCCCCCCCCCCCCCCCCCCCCCCCCCCCCCCCCCCCCCGTGAGACTCCCTTCTTATAATGAGGCCAGGTTAACTAAAATATATATGATTAAAGTTGATGTTGACAGTCAAAACAATGAAAGGAACACCCAATGGGAATAATAATGCCTATTCAAGGTCATTGAGTAGACAGGTTTTGGAGAGGAATGTTATGGAGGAACTGTGTACATGGATGTGGGTAGTGGTTATGTGGGAGTATACAGGTGTGAAAATCCATCAGACAAAAACTTAAGATAGTTCATCTTGTCATATGTAATTTCTACTTCAAAAAGTAAAATAGTAATTGTATCAGGAAAATACAGTTGTTGAATGTGCATGGTAATTATTGTATAGTCACCATATTTTCATGAAATTGGAAGTATTTTGGAATACCCTTTAAAGACTGGCACACAAAAGTCAAGGTATATTTTAGATTAAAGACTTTTCCAGTATTTTTTTTTTCTTGGATGTTAGAAAGGGAAATAGAAGATAAAATCTCATACCATGGGAGGTTCTTTTATCATACGAGTTCCAAGCTTGAAATCAGATTGTTAGGCTTGGTAGCAAGCACCTTTTACCTGCTTAGCCATCTTGCCGCCCAAATCAATTTCTCTCTTCTTTCCTTTTGTGTGTGTGTGTTTTTTGTTTTTT